GCGTGGCCACCACCTGCTGCCGCCGGCTGAGCAGGGTCCCAGGGTGGACTCGCCGAGCCCAGAAGGGCCCGGGATGTCCCGTGACCGGACGCAGCCTTGGCGTCCGGCCCGCCTCTGCCGCCGCCGCCGGCCTAGCCTATTTCATTTCATTTCAAGTGGAAGAAAGAGAGATTTCTAACAGAGTCTTGTCACAATGCAATCTCCCCCAACCAGCCTTTCAGTCAGCCAGGATTAAATGAAGAAAGACATAAATATCTCAAAGGATGCATAAAAATAATTTTAGAAAGCCATCAATCGTTTATAATGTTAAAAAAGGAAAGCAAAATAAAGGGAAATATTTTAATTAAAAAAATCTATGATAATGTTTTAGAAACAGTATAAAGTTTTGGGAAAGCAATAGCCTCCCCTTCAGCATTTTACTTATGGTTCTAGCCAATGCAATAAGACAAATGTAAGGAAACAGAACACTTGATTGGAAAAAATGCAGGACAAAATAATATATCCTTTTTAAAGATGAAGCAGTTGGGATAGTCACAGAAATCTATTGAGAAAATGACAAATAAAAATGGAATGCTAATTCAATCAATTTTGCTGTATATACATTCAACATATAACAGTCTCCCATTTTCCTTCACCATGGACAACCTACTCAAATGCAACCCAAAAGAAATTCCACTGTAGTAATAACAAAATAAGACACACAATAACACATAAATTTGAATATCACTAAATGTTATAAAAGTATATGTAACTAAATAAGTATATTAGTGTCATGGATTAAATAATAAAAACAATAAAGTTATTATTCCCAAATTAATCTATTAATTTAATCCACTATCTATTGTAACCTTAAAATTGTCTTAGTGGAATTTAACTTTTCCTAAAATCACCTAAAGAGTTCATTAATAGAAGAGCCAAGATATATGGAGTAGAATATTTGGGGAGAATGGGTTCACCATACTAAGTGGCAAGTAGATTTGAAATAGGCAGTGTTGTCTCAAAGAGACAAAAAGGCCAATGAAAGGAATATGAGAGGTCAGATACAGACCCTGGAGTACATGGACACTTGATAAATGGCAACAGTGATAGTTTAGAGGGAAGCTACTAAATAAATGGTATTTGGGTGAATGTTTTATTCCTGCTAAAAAGAAGCTAAATTTCTATTGAATGGCAATAAGAGAGAAATTCATGTTTCAATTGGACTAGATAACGAAATATGAAAAAGAACACTTCAAATTTATAAAAAAGAAAAGAAAAAAATTTATATTACGTAAGATGCAAAAAATCCCACACCTAAAGGAAAAGATTGGTAAATGTGACTATATTACATTTTCTGTATTTATAAACACCACAATCATTAAAGATAACCTATAAGAGTAAAGGAGTTTTCAGTACCCTCTAACCCTATATTTATAACTATTATCGAAAACCAGCTTAGGGACCAGCAGTTAGTGTAATGGCTATGTTGCGGGACTCCCACATAGTTGAACGGCGGTTCGCGTCCCGGACCCGGTAGCTTAAAACACGCTGGGCGAGTGTGTGTCCATGTCCAAGATCCCGAGAGGAGTATAGAGGAGAAGGGATTGCGGTGTGGCCATCCTTCCTGGGGGGTGATTTCTTGCTTTCTGTCTCTCTGTCTCTCTCTGTCTGTCTGGCGAGCGCACGCGCCCTATAGCAAAAATCTCTCCAAAAAAAGAAAAAAGATAAAAGAAAACCAGCTTAAAAAAGAGAACAACCAAATAGAGAAATCAGTAAATGTGTGATCTGGATATTCACTAAAGGGGAATGAGCATGTCCAATAAATATTTGAAATAATTTCCAAATTTAATAGTAGGCAAAAAATTGCAATAAAATACATTTTATACCCATCTAAATGGTAACAATGACAATAAATCCTCACAAAATCCTTCAATGATAAAGCCATAGAAAAATAAGAACATCTCTCATATATCTACAATTTTTGGACAGAAATTTGGCAATTTCCAGCTCAGTAGAACCGTTTTACCTGCTACTTCCGTTACAGGTATGTGTTCTTTTTTTTATTTTTGGAGAGGTTTTTGCTATAGGGCGTGTGCACTCACCATACAGAGAGAGAGAGAGAGAGAGAGAGAGACAGAGAGACAGAAAGTGAGAAATCACTCCCAGGGGGGATGGCCACGCTGCAATCCCTTCTCCTCCAGTCTCCTCTCGGGATCTTGGGCACGCATGCACATGTGCCTGGTGTGAGTTTTAAGCCACCAGGTCCGGGATGCGAACTGCGGTTGACTACATGGGAGTCCAGCGAGATAGCCATTACGCTAACTGCTGGTCCTGTAGGTATGTGTTCTTGAAAAATGATCACGTGTCACAAATGAACATATAGAATATACATATCTGTAGCCATTAAAATGAATGGACTAGAGTGGCACATATCTAAACAGAAAAGTATCTACCCATAAAATTGGCCAAGAGATAAATTTTAGGATCATATCTTTTTATACATTCCATTTACATAAAATTAAAAAATAGATATATTTTATTATATTTGCAATACAGTCATACATAAGAAAATAATTTTTAAAACATACAAAGGAATAATGTTTATGAAGCTGATTATAGTGAATTTCTTTGCCAGAATAAAATAATTGGGTATAAACGGTTACTATGGGTCTTTATTATAACTAATATTCTGCTTTGTGGTAAAAAAGAATGTGCAAATGTTATAAATTTAATGCTATGTATTATATCAACATCCACATTTAAACCTAAAATCAAAATAGTTTATAAGAAATTAATGGAGATAAACCCAATAATTCCCAAGGGACCCAGTGCCAATTTTTGTCAATGCATTTCTTAAAAAATAAACATTTCATCTAAAATTTACTATGAACATATGATGAAGAATTTATCTTTCTTTTTAATAATTATTTTTACTTAATTTTATTCATTGTCATTATTTGATTTATTTTTTTTCTTTTCTTTTTGACATTGACCAGAGAGAGAAGGAAAAAGAGAAGGAAGGTGAGAAAGCAAGCTGACAGGTCTGGACTTGAACTGTGGTCAGTCACATCGGAGTCCAGCACCACAATGCCACTTTCCAGCCCCCAAAGAATGCATCTTTACGGCACTCTTGAGCTCTAGTCACTGTAGCATATATGCTGCATAGGAGGTGGTTAAGGAAAAACCTATTATGTAATCGCTAGGTGTTGGGGTAAAAGAACATTCTGAATTTGACATCCAAGAGGCTATAGAGTATCTATTTATTCTCATGCCCATTGTCCACAAATCTAAATTTATAATTTAGTATATTCTACGACTTTCTTTATGTAGTGTAACCAGCTTGATAATTTCTATTTAGTGGTGGTGTAAATGCCTGAAATATATAGAGGCTCCTTAATTTATTTATTATTCCCAGGTATTAACATAATATACTCCTTTGTGCTTTAATAAATATATGAGAACAAATATAAACACCTGTATGAATGAAAGAATTAGATAAAATGTCCTACATATAACCAGTCAGGTAGAATTTCTGTTTTCTTAAGGAAAAAAGAAATGCATACTTCTTACCAACAGATGATAGCTACTGAATGCATCTATACACTCATAAAAACTAGCCTGAGTGCCTTGGTAAAAGATAATAATCCTCTCATATATTAGGAACCACACAAAACGAAGTGTATGTGTGTGTTCTTGGGAGTATAGTAGAGTCCACACAATTTTGTTTACATGTAATTACTTAGAGTATTCAGTGGAAAGCTCTCTAATTAAAAAAACACAAATATGGGGACAGCAGGTGGCACGGTGGATAAGGTGCTGGACTCCCACATGGAGGACTGAGGTTTGAGTTCCAGACTTGGCAACATTAAAATCACATCGGGCATGTGTGTGAGCATGCCCAAAATTCCAAGAGGTAAATGATGATGAAGGGATTGAAGCGTGGCCATACGCAATCTCCATATGGGGAGATTTCTCACTTTTCCTATGTCTGTCTGTCTGTCTGTCTCTATCTCTCTCTGGCAAGTGCACAGGCCCCTTGATAAAAATCTAAGAAAAAGTACAAAAATAAATTCATATTTGTTTCTCTTTATATAAGGAAAGTTTGTATCAAATATTTCTCGGATTCTAAATAGAGTTAATGAGTCATTTTCCTATTAACTTCTTTATGATAGTTCTAAAGGAATTTGTTAAGAAAATTTCAAAATTGGGTTGAAGTGAAAAATAGTATTCTTTCTTTCTTTCATTTTTCTTTCCCCACCCTTGAGGATGTGAGTGATTGCCAGAGAGACACAGTGAGAGGGAAAGTGAATAATCATGCCCCAGAGAGAATGACCATGCCATAATCCCTTCCACTCCATTCTCCTCCCAGGATCTTGGGCATACATGCACGCGCACATGGCACCCAGGTTGATTTTCAAGCTTCTGGGATCAGAACTTAATCTGTGGTGGGCTATGTGGGAGTCCAGCAATGTAACCATTACATCATCTGATGGTTCCTCCCAAATAAATATTTTTGCAATAAAACCAAACATGCTATATAAACATGACATGGAACAGTCCATTTGATAATTTCAATGTACAGCATGATTATTGTAAAAAAATCAATAAACAAAACAATATCAACTTATACTGAAATATAATTTATATGGGTTTTACACCAGTACCATTTGCTGTGATTGGTGTCTAGAAGGTCTGCCTGGAGCTGACGTGCTGAGTCCTCAATCTACTCATGGCTGCTCTCATTTCCTGATTCCTCAGAGTGTAAATAATGGGGTTCAATAAGGGTGTAATCACTGAATAAAACACAGAAAGAAATTTATCCACGGAAAATCTACTGAATGGCCATACATAAATGAAGATACAAGGTCCAAAGAACAGAGTGACCACGGTTATGTGAGCAGACAGTGTAGACAGAGCCTTGGAGAGTCCGTCAGAGGATCGACGTCGCACAGTCACCAGAATGACAGTGTAGGAAATGAGCAAGAGTATGAAGCAGATGAAAGACAACAGTCCACTGTCGGCAATTACCAGCAACTGCAGAACATAGGTCTCAGTACAGGCGAGCTTTAGAACGAGGGGCAGGTCACAAAATATATTGTCCACTATGTTGGGGCCACAGAAGGGCAAGGTGATAGTGAAAACCATCTGGCTCATGGTATGCACAAAACCGACAGTCCACGACAGTAGCACAGAGCCCAGGAGTACTCGGCGGTTCATGATGGCTGTGTAGTGAAGAGGTTTACAGATGGCAACGTACCGGTCAACAGCCATGACTATGAGAAGAGTCATCTCACTGCCCCCAAAGAAGTGGAGAAAGAACATCTGAGCCATACATCCCCCTAAGGAAATAGTTTTACTTTCCCTGAGGAAATCTGTGATCATCTTAGGGGTTGTGATTGTGGAAAGAGACATGTCAAGAAAGGAGAGATTTCCAAGAAGGAAGTACATCGGGGTGGAGTGGAGACGAGAGTCAAAGGTTACGGTGACCACAATGAGGAGGTTTCCTGCCATGATTGCTGCATAGGCCAACAGAAATATGAAAAAAAATAAAAGTTCAAGTTCCCAAGTGTTGGTGAGTCCTAACAAAACAAATTCAGATATCATTGAACTATTTTTCATGTTCATCTAGTAGTTTTCAGAAATTCTTCCCAATGAAGATAGCCTGGAAAAGTGATAACTTAACCAGGGATAGTTTTGAAGATATGGATATATAAAAGTGAGTATTTGATTCCTATAGAAAGAGAGAAGATAAACATTTATGAAAAATATACTTGGAACGATTATCACAAGCAACATTACCATTACTGCATTTTTGTCCAGAAAGAAAATAAACAAAATATATGAAATATGTTATAGAATACTGTATATATACATATATGTATGGCGTGGATTGTTTTTCCATGTGCATTTTTTTCAATCATAAGATCATGACTTAATAAGCCATGAGTTGAAGTTAACATGTAGGATGAGTCAAATTGACTAAATGACTTAGTTCAAGTGGTTAAGAACATAATTTTTTTTGATGCCAGCTATTCATTTTTTTTCTGTCCCTAATATGAAGTATTCAGATATGAATTATACATCAAATTCAGGAAGTCACTATAGGGCACTGTCATCAATAAGCTATACTAAATTCTCATCCTTCTTTTCATCTTCAAAAGTACAACAGTAATTTCATCTCTTCCTGAAGCTTTTAACTGGCTATGAATTGTCATGTTTTCACCCTGATTCACAAACAATAATAAAACAACCTTCTTAGAAAATATGTGCATAATAGCATAAATATTTATCTAGTCAACAAATAGTGTCCAGCCTTTTCTTCCCAGCTATCTTTTACCTTTTTTCTTCTTTTTGTTCTTTGCCTTCTCCTTTTCCTCTTTCTTGTTCTTCTTCCTTTTGACTATACCTGATAGCACATAGCAGACATAGGCACAGACACAAACACATACAGACACAAATGTACAGCCTCGTTTATTGTTCTGAGGACCCATCCCCCCAAAATGTTGTAAAATCTGCTCTGAATTTTAATTTTTTACTCAATATTTTAGCAAATACTTAAAGATATAATTGAGCTCCAATATCTCCATTAAACAAAACAAAACAAACTGAAGAACCAAGATTAGAATTCTAGTTCTCATCTCAACATTTTCTTGGGAAATACACTCTTAATTCTTATGAACATTAATTTATTTTTCCTTAAAAATCAATTATAACACACTCTTTAACCTCTAATGAGTCACAAAGAAAACACTAAACTTTTACATATATGAAATATATTTCCATGTTTATTGTATACAAATAGGTACATTAATAAAATTCTGTTCATTAGAAGTATCTCATTTAACAGTGACTATAAGGATACTCAAAGCAATAAGGACCATGAAAACATTTTACTATGTAAAATTTGTGAAGAAGATTTAGTACTGACAAATGTATTTTTCTCTATTTAATATAGTTGCTAAAACTATCTCCTTAATAAATATTTATTGTCAGCATCATTGGTGTCCTCATTCATGCAATAAGTGAGTCCTCATACCTATGTATTATAGGTAATTATGTTATTTCCAAAACTGTGCAGTCCTTAATTTCCATATGCTAATAGGAGTACGTCTGAAGGAGACTCACTTAAGTAGGTTTTATAGTCTAATATGTAAAATTGGAACTCAAGATCAGGAAATCCCAGTTTTTAGGCATTAAAATTTTTATAAGGTTATTTATTCACTGTACAAGTGTATTATACAATTTTATAAGCATCTTATAAGCATATTTTATAAACATGCAAGACAGTATCTAATTAAGTCTAGATGTAGATGTACTCCAATCTGTTATAAAAGATAAAATCATTATGATAATCTGTATATATGATCAAATATTACAAAGATTGTGCTTTTTAATTTTACTAAGACACAGATAAAAATATGACAGTAAGAGGAAGAAAAGAAGTTTTCCTAAAGTCACACTTAAACCTCAAGTGGCAAATTAAATTTTTGAGTAGGATATATTATATGAATAACAGTGAACTAAGAAGAAATAAAAATAACTGATAAAAATTGGGTCAGGCAGTGTTTGGTTTCTTCTTGCCAGAATGGTGAGTGGTCTCTGACTGGGATCCTAGCACTTTCAGCTCCTTTCCTGTGGCTGAAAGATGAAGAGCTTCTATTCTCCTTCTGACTGTGGTTGCTCGCTTAGGGATAAAAAGCACAAGCTGTCCTATACTGCGTGTCTGTGTTCAGCAGCGAATGCATTTCCAGAGAAGCTCTTAAATAGCACAGTTCATGTATCTGGGAATGTGTAACGGTACTTTAAAAAAAAAATGGGCTGTATGGTTTCTATAGATCATGAGTTTCTGTTTTGTTTTCTTTTCATGGAAGTGTCAAGCCATGTATGGGTTAGACGACATACAGAAATGTTCACTGACCACCAAGAAAATGTTTAAAAAGTGAAAAATCAGAAGAGGCCAGGCCTTCAGAAGTGGGTTGCACATGGCTCCCGTGAACTAGGTATTTCATGGCACAGGAGAACTGAAGATTTTCTACTGATACAGCCTCTAGCAAACCAGCTAGTGGGTTAAAATATTCCTCAATATCTATTGAATCTGCTGCACCAGTGATCACAACAGAACGGCAAAGAGATTCTAGATCACCTCTGTCTGCTTGCTCCTGAACATTCATTCTGAACTTCAAGAATTTGAAAGAAACACACCATCCATCAGGTGACAAGAAATCACCGCCGGATCACAAGAAATATGGGAAAACAAGAAAATACCTCTCCTCCAAGGGAAAAGAGTAACTCTTCTTCATCCACAAGCAGTTTGGTGAAAATCATAGAAATGTCTGATAAGGAATTTAGAGCATTCATAATGTCGAAGCTAACAGAGATGGAAGAGAAGAGAGATAATGAACTGCTAAAGAGAAAGGAGAAAGAAGTTGATGAGTTACAGGAGATGAGGAAATTCTTGCAAGATCTAAAAGAGGAATTACACACTTTACAAAAGACTCAAAGACTCAAACGGAACTGTTAGAGATGAAATCTATGATACAGGAAGTCAAAATCTCCCTTGAAAGTATTAAAAGCAGACTAGATCATTCAGAAAATAGAATCTCAGATTTAGAAGAGAAAATGGCTGGCCTAGAAAAATCCACCACAAAGACTGAGAAAATGGCCCAAATATTTGAGAATAATATGCGAGAAGTACTAGATACCATCAAACGTCCAAATATCTGGATAATTGGCATTCCAGAAGGTGAAGAGACCCATAAGGG